AAATAAACATTTAAACTTTACCAGGTTGTACTATAACCCTTACTAGACAGAAGGAGAAAAAGAAAAGTTGAAGAGTCACTTTTTAAACTTGCTAATGTGTTCTGGAACATATTAAAGAAACTGAAGTGATTCCGTCTGCTGCTCTGAGTGCAGGGCACTGTGGTGATACCCTCTCAGAGGGGCGGGTTCATGACTCCATGCCCTCATAGTGTGTCCTCATTTTTCTGGGTTGAATAGCCCTGGGTGGCATTCAACACAAAATACTGAGGACATCTTGTGGTAGGAAAGGAATACTGTGAGGGACCGCATTGAAAAGGATTGCAAATTTGTTTGTGCATCTGTCCCCCGCTGCTTCTAAGACTGAGAACTGAGCGATCAAAGACCGCTGATCACTAGGTTCTCAGTCTTCAGTGAGCAGAGAGCCAGTGACTGTCAGTGGTTACATGCATACTGGGGCAGATGAGTGGCCCTGGGAACTGAATTATTGTTCTGTATGCCCAAATGGGCCCTACAAAAAAAAAAAAAATATCACTTGCTGATCTGTTTAGCTTCAGCCACTGTAAAGTAAACTTTGAGTCGGAATTGCTCCACAGTGGCTGTAAAACAGTGGTCCGTGAGCGCTTTTTTTTTTTTTTTTAAAGCTGATCTCTGGGCATCAAGCACCCTACCCTCCACGCTAACTAATAGCCATGTTAAAATGAAAAAAAAATTGTAATTCAAAAGGCACATTTACTTAACTAAATCCTCATTTGTGTGTCCCCATTTCTACCTGGATGATGTGGACACTTTCTGCTGGCTGTCTGACAGTGGGGTTCTCTCAGTCTCCAGAAGCCTGCAGGTAGTGAGGACATCACAAGGAGGTTCTGGTGGACACAGATTGCAGCCCAGGGTTACAAGCCTCCATTGGTCCTGTGTTTTTCTCACAAGCCTCTACAACAGTGATGCAGTCAGCAAAGCTCATGCTCCCAATATAAACATATAGTGCAGCGCTGAAAAAGTAATAAATTGAAATGTATAAAACATATAAAATATATATTTAAAAGTCTTTCTCATGATAATATAGTCGAATATGTGCAGGTCTTCTCCTCATTAGGTGACTGGAAAAATAACAAGATTGCGCACTCACCCGACCGCACATTTAAAATGTGCCTTGTATGATATATTCCAAAAGACAGCCAGGTATACAGCTCCAGAGACCACACGGATCCTCCCTCTCCAACACTCTCATCCGCCTTGGGTGTAGCAATATCTTCCAGATCCAAAGGTAGAAAGACAAAGATCCCCCTTTTTTGGTTCCAGACACCCCAAGAATGGAAGATGTATATCTGCACTCTCCAACAGGAGAGTCAAAGAAAAAGGGGAACGCCAATAGTGTGGTACTTAAAAAACTTTATTGGAGCAATAATGCCTGGGTCATATGCACACATATATCCACACACCATAAGCCAATAACGGACAGGTAGGTATGAAGGGAAAATAGTAGTACTAACCCGGCAATGGCATAAAAACGAAGACCACCAGACCTCCTCTTGGTCTCAGCTTGGTCTGGAAGTCACACTTGCTACTTGGCTCTCCTGAAGGCCTTTCGTGCAAAAAGCACTTCTTCAGAGGATGGACGCCACTCATTATCCAAAGCTCATGCTCCCAGCTGACTGCAATGCTGTAGTTGTAGTGGTTTGTCGGACTGCTGCTCTCCAAGTGCAGTGATTTATGTGTGCAACAGAATGCCAGATCAGTGGATTGTATGCTTGCATTTGGGCTGCAAAATAAAGGCATACATAAGACGTTTACTGATTTTTATCTTTATGCTTTTTACAGCAAAGGCTCAATTGCACTTTATTTTTAAGGAGCAGCTAACTCTAATGGCTATTTTTTATATATACCAAGTTCAGCTTTAATGCATTATTTGCATTTATGTTGTAAGCTTATTTTGCCATTCATCCAAGGACTTGCTAATAACATGATTTCAATGTATTACAAAACATTTGTGTGTTTTGTTCTTGTCAGTTCCATGTCAGACCTTTTTAACTAAGATACCTTTCCCTTACTCCCCATGTGAGCTGTTTACTTTTTCTTCTGGTTTAGATGATTATATTTCCCACACCTAGCTGGTACTTGAGAAAAGAAAATACAGTAGTGAAGATTATATTGTAGTCCTGTTAGGTGTAGCCCCTTCCCAACGTTCTGAGATGGGAAAGAAGGGCAACTTTTAAAACATCATATTTAGATAAAATATACAAAGAGACCATGAGAAATCAAAGTACAAGAATCATTTAACCCACTGGTGCTTTTTTTTTCTCAGGGACTTTTTCTTAAAGTGGTTGTAAAGGCTTTAGGTTTTTTACCTAATAAAAAGCATTCTTTGTGCTGGTTCCCCCACAGGTCCCTCTAATACTCCCCTGAGACCTCTCTCGATCCAGCAATGTGCACGGGAGCCTCAGCTGTTGGCTGAGATAGCAACAGGAGCTATTGGCTCCCACTGCTGTCAGTCACACCCAGTAAACCAATGAGGAGAGAGCAGGGGGCAGGACCAAGTCGTGGCTCTGTGTGTTATGGACGCATAGAGCAGGGCTTGGGAGCAAGCATGCACCCGTGCCCCGTAGCAAGCAGCTTGCTATTGGGGGAACTGGTCAAGGGGGAAGTGCCAGAAGCACTGGTGGGGGACCCGAGATGAAGAGGATCGGGGCTGCTCTGTACCAAACCACTGCACCTGCACAGTGCAGGTAAGCATGACATGTGTGGGGGTTTTTTTTGTTAGGAAAAGCCGAACATTTTAATACCACTTTAACTACAGTGTTTAAAAATAAAAACAATGCAAACATCTGAATGATATATGGAATGTTCAGTTCTATATAAACTTTGACAGTTAAATACTACCATTCACATAGAGCAAAAAGAGTGGCATTTCAAAAGAAATGAGCGACAATTTGAATTGGGTCCAAAGGTGGGACAGTTGTGTGCTGAGGTTTATGTCCATTGGCTTCAAACTTGTAAGTATGTCAAATGCAGTTTGCTTTCAGTGAAGATGACTTGCTTTTTTTACATCAGCCCTAAGGCAACATTCACATCCAGTATCAGGGCATTTTCATCTAGCACCCAGGGCAAGGATGTGGAACTGCATCCCCTTTCCCACTGTTAAAGCATGCTACAGAATGGTTTTCCTGCCTTGTGCCTATTCTTTGCCAACTTGCTCATCTGTCACACAGGGCAGTTGCCCCTCCTGCCCACCCCTTGTCCTGGTCCTGTTCATATCTATATATTTGAGTGTGGTGTGCTGTATTTTTGGTGCAGTTTCTAGAGTACAGATTACATCCTAAATTGTAGAATTGCCATGAGAGCAAAAAGTGATTAGAAATCCTACATTTGGGGCAAAACTCTCACTTTGGGGGGAAGTTGCATCTTCAAGGCAGGAAGTAAAAGGAAAAAGGGCTGTGCACCAGAGAGCGTTTTCCACAAAGGGAATGGCGTTTTCTAAAATTGAGTCTGTGTGGCCAATTTAATAGGTTTAACAGAATTGTCCTAATTAATACGGTAATCAATATTGTTATATTATGGCTCTGTATGAAATGTTTTGAATTTGGATTACCATAGTGGAATGATGAGTTAAAATGTGACACATTGTTTTCTAAAATAATCCTTGTATTAATTGGCTTCTCCATATGCTGTAAATAAACAAAACTTTGTACTCTGTTTTTACTTAAGTCAAACCTTGCGCCACATAAGTCGATCTACTGATGACTGTACTCACTGCCAGAATTCAAAATCTCTTTAATATACATTTTATGTAGAACAAGACCTACTAATGTATTTGATTTATTGCATTTGCAGGAATATACTGTTCTGTATAGAGAGAATTAATATAACGTTCTCAGTTAAAAGTCCCCAATGGCTTATATAAAACAGCTGCCGACAGCATCCACAAATACAAGTTTTGGCTTTCTGGAAAATGAGAACAGAATGTACTTGACATGTATTTAAGATGTAAGGAGGATGAGGGACAAAAACAAGGATGAAAGGAGGGTGAGGGTAAATTCTGAAAGATGAAAACACAGGTGCCAACCAGCAGAGTTTTTAGGTCAAGACTGACTTAACTATACAAATGAACGCCCTCTGAAGAAGTTACAAGGACGAAACATACACAGGGGTTGAGTTACATGATGTCATCCCACACATGGCATGAGCTCACACCAGGCTGAGCAGTGGAGCTGGACTGGGACCGACAGTAAGTAAGCCTTGTGTCTTAGTGCTATTTTGGATAGTGTAAGGAAGGGTAATAACCCGTCAGGTGAATCTCCTTAACCGCCTCCCGCCCGCCATATAATGTAATGACGAGTACAAGGCAGTTTTCTCGTTCTGGGAGGACGTCATATGACGTCCTCCCACTCTAACCGTGTGTGCACGGCTCCGGGAGCTTGCAGCACGGCGATTGGTGGTGCGCTGTGTGACTCGGACACAGCGGATCACTGATCAATGAAAAGAATAAACTTTCAAGCGAGCGCTTCTTATAATAAAGATAAAAGCAGCTTGCATAAGGAAAAACCTCTAAATCCTTAAAAACATAAAAATCAAACAATGCAGCGCTAAATCCAATATAAATATCAATAAATTTCAAATAAATTAAATAATAAATAGCAATATATCTCATACAAATTAAATGCAAAGTGATCGGTGATAGTAAACAAATAAGAGCGCTACAGGTAAGCGCAATAAAGTGACAATAGTGCGTGATCTTAAATCAATCTAATGACAGTAAAACAAAACGCACAATATAAACGTATAGCAGTCCAAAGACAACTTTTCTTTATAAGTGCCCTATGAGACATCCAGTGCGTGGAAATAGTGGTAATTCTCACTGGAGTGATCACCGATCACTTTGCATTTATTTTGTATGAAATTTATTGCTAATTTAATTTATTTGAAATTTATTGATATTTATATTGGATTTAGCGCTGCATTGTTTGATCAATGAAAAGAGCCGAAGATGTCGGCTCGGTCATGTGATCAGCTGTGTCCAATCACAGCTGATCGCATGTAAATAGGGAAATGCCGGTTATCGGCATTTCTTTCCTCACGAGCTGTCACGCTGACGGCTCGAGAAGAGAGGAGAGCCGGTAATCGGTATTCCTCAGAGGGGACATGTACACTGATCATCAGGGCACTGATGATCAGTGTATCCCCAGCAGTGCCCATCAATGCCACCTGCCAGTGCCCATCAGTGCCTGATCAATGCCACATATTAGTGCCTACCAATGCATATCAATGCCACATATCAGTGCCCATATGAGCTGCCTTTCAGTGTCGACTATCAGTGCCAGTCAGTGCCACCTATCAATGCCAGTCAGGGCCACCTAGCAGTGCCCGTCAGTGCTGCCTATCAGTGCCGCCTATCAGTGCCATATATGAGTGCTGCCTTTCAGTGCCCATCAGTGATGCCTGTCAATGCCCATCAGTGCCCATCACTGCAGCCTCATTAGCGCACACAAGTGAAGGAGAAAAATCACTTATTTACAAAATTTTATAACAAAAACTAAGAAAAACGCGCTTTTTTTTTTTCCTTTCAGTATTTTTTTTTTTTTTTTAGCAAAAAATGAAAAACCCAGTGGTGATTAAATATCACCAAAAGAAAGGTCTATCTGTCTCAAAAAATTATAAAAATGTAATATGGGTACAGTGTTGCATGACCGCTCAATTGTCATTCAAAGTGTGACAGCGCTGAAAGCTGGAAATTGGCCTGGGCAGGAAGGGGGTATAAGTGCCCAGTAGGCAAGTGGTTAATGGGGACACAGACAGCAATAAAAAGTGACAAGGGTTCTAATCCCTCTCCACTCTATCCAAAACTATAAACAAAAAAAAATTTGCGTTTAGTTATACTTTAAATTAGGCTTAGTGTTTGTTTCGACTAAAGCCTTTCCCTGTTGGTTGGTGTGTCTTCTGTCACTTTAAAAGGCAAACAGGGGAGTAGGTAGCATTGCGCTCAATCAAGCTTTTGCAGGAAGAGCTAACATTCACATATATAGCAACTTTTTCTGCTCGTATTTCTGGATCTGCTGATTGATATTAAGCATGATTTTTCTTTTGAAGGTAGCCTTTCTTTTTACGTTTCATTATATTGCCCAGCTTTGTGACAAATTTGCTTTAACATTAGTAATTTGACATGGAGATCAATTTTGTCATTAGAATTGTAATGTACAGTTGTGTCCAAAATTATTCAACCCCCAATGCTAGTAAAGGGGTTTAGGGACTATAGTGTACATTTGGAATTGTTTTCAGAATCAAATCCTACAAGGACGTTGTAACTACCCAAATGCAACTAAAATGAATCAATTGTTTATGTAATACAGTAGTGGTTCATGTGGTTTCTTCATTGCCACATTTATTCAACCCCTTAAAAGACACCACTCTGAAGAACAGAGGTTCATACAGGTGCTTTCCATCAGGTATTGAAAACACCTGTGGATGTCACCGAGCAGCAATCAAGCATAATAAGCACCAATTAGGCAGCTTTAAAATGACTGTGATACTCAGCTCCTTCTAGACATTTACTGGTGTGGTTACAAACATGGGTGAAGGCAAGAGAATGGTCCAGGAAGACAAGAGAAGAGGTGATTTTTTCTTCACAGGAAGGGCAATGGCTATAAGAAGATTGCAAAGATGTTAAACATACCAAGAGACACCTTAGGAAAGCATCATTCGCAAATTCAAGGCAAAGGGCACTGTTGAAACGCTACCTGGTCGTGGCAGAAAGAAGATGCTGACTTCGACTGCTGTGCGCTACCTGAAGCGTAGAGTGGAGAGAAGTCCCCGTGTGACTGCTGAGGAACTGAGAAAAGATTTGTCAGATGTGGGTACAGAAGTTTCAGCCCAGACAATAAGACGCACACTGCGTAATGAAGGCCTCCGTGCCAGAACTCCCAGGCGTACCCCCTTGCTGTCTCCAAAGAATAAGAAGAGTCGACTGCAGTATGCCAAAAGCCATGTGGACAAAGCACAAAAGTTGTGGGATAGTGTTTGTGGACTGATGAAACAAAATTAGAACTGTTTGGGCCCATGGATCAACGCTATGTTTGGAGGAGGAAGAACAAGGCCTATGATGAAAAAGAACACCTTGCCTACTGTGAAGCATGGTGGAGGGTCAATCATGCTTTGGGGCTGTTTTGCTTCTGCAGGTACAGGGAAGCTTCAGCGTGTGCAAGGTACCATGAATTCTCTTCAGTACCAGGAGATATTGGATGGAAACGTGATGCAGTCCGTCACACACCTGAGGCTTGGGGGAGTGGACCTTTCAACAGGACAATGACCCAAGCATTCCAAGTCCACTAGAGCATGGTTGCAGAGGAAAGGCTGGAACATTTTGGAGTGGCCATCGCAGTCACCAGACTTAAATCCGATTGAGAACCTCTGGTGGGACTTAAAGAAAGCAGTTGCAGTGCGCAAGCCTAAGAATGTGACTGAACTGGAGGCCTTTGCCCATGAAGAATGGGCGAAGATACCCGTAGATCGCTGCAAGACACTTGTGTCAAGCTATGCTTCACGTTTAAAAGCTGTTATAAACTGTAAAAGGATGCTGTACTAAGTACTAAGATTGAATGTCACTTGGGGGTTGAATAAAATGATAATGCTGTGAGCACAGAAAAGACATTTGTGGTTATTTCATTATAACTGTTATGTTATATTTGTCTGACCTACAAGTGCCTCTTTAATGTAATGTAAGCAAGATGACTGAATGATCAAAAGCAATGTCAAACTGGCCAAAACACTCAATTTCAGTGGGGGTTGAATAATTTTGGACACAACTGTATAGCTGTCTTTACCACATTAATGGCTTGCAGGCTGCTTTTCCAAACTGAACCAATCTGCTGATATCTATTTAAATAAATGATTTCATTGTTTTCTATTCTGGTTTAAAACACACCTTGAGTAGACAAAACAATACTGTATGCCACGCTTTTAGTCAATCAGATGGTATTCTAACAATCCCAGATCATGTTGGTCATAATCTCTGAGAAGGATTTAGAATTTGGTTTGTGGCCAGCCATACAAAGATCTTGCTAGTGAGGAAACCCTTTTGATCACCACTTGCAACAATCAAGCCAAGTCTTGGTTATTAGTGTTTACTAATGAACAGCTTCAGAAGTGCTCATCATTCCATGCCTAGGTATTTCAGCATGATGAAGCGAGCAGGGCCCTCTGTTTCTTCTTGTACCAAATTGTATTGTACCTGTAATGTCTACCTTCATTTTGTAAAGCGCTGCACAAACTGTTGGTGCTATATAAATCCGGTATAATAATAATGATGAAAAATATTTGATGAACTTTACATGAATAGACCTATAGGAGGGTCATAGTGATAGGGATCAACCTGGGGATGTGAACAGGAAAGAGGCCAGATAAAAATAACAGTCTGCAGAATTGCAAAATTAATTAAATGTCTTTAAAATCTGACACAGTGGGAACGTAGAAGTTTAATATTTAACCCGAGGTACTGATGTAAAAGATGCATTATTGCAGTTCTGCAATAATTTATACAGCATTAAGGCCTCATGCACATGTTCTTAACTATACCCTTAGAGGCATCTGGTTTCTTTTTTTTTTTTTTTCTGTCTCTAAACGCCACTGAATGTTAGCCTATGTGTGCAAACATAGACATTTAGAGGGAAGAAAAAGAAGCCCACTGCTAGCGCGTCCAGGATCAACGGCCTTTTGGTAGAAAAAAAGCTTGATGTATGTTAACGATAGGCACGTAATTCATTTCAATGGCCAGTATAAATTATTATTCGAGCCCATAAAATTATTTAAAGTGTTACTAAACCCACAACAGTAAAATCAGTCTGTATATGCAGTAAAGCATGCTTGTTATACTCACTGTGGACCTAAGGGGTTAATCCTCTGTAAAAAGGTTGTTTGGTTCTGTTTTCTCTGCCCCTCCTCTTGTTCAAATGTCCACCTGATAAGACAGACTAAACCCATAGTCACATATCGTGTGGAGATACTCTGCACATGCTCACTTTAGTGTGTATTGCTAGAGAACTTTTTTTGTGGGGGGGAGAGTGCATGTGATCAGCGCAGGGCCAATCAGCACTGTCTAGACAGAGGTCAGGGATTTTGCATCCTCTTAGAGCAGAAAGAAAACTCCTCCTGAAAGCTTTAACCAGTGCTCTGCTGAAGTCACGAGACTGCTCTAGCTGCTGATGAGAAAAGGTATTTAGCAGTTTTATATTTACTAAAAAATTGCACTTCTATGTTGTGTGTACTGTGGGAGACCAGATAAAGTGAATGCAGGGTCCTGGGTTTAGTAACACTTTAAAGCACAAATGCTTGACACGCCACACATTTTTCTACCAAAAACACCGCTGCTAGGAGGATAGGCATCTAGGAGAGAGAGCCAAAGAGTCCAGTGTGTATGAGACCTAAATGTTTTTCCTTTTTTTAATGCAAGCAGTATAAATACCTGAATGTCTCCTGGTTTCAACCTCTTGCAATCAATATATACAGCAGGACTGGAGAGTGAGCAGACAAAAAGCATGCTGAGCTGAAAAGAAAGCAGAGTTACAGAGATTGAACTAAGCACAGTGTGCTGCTTCTCCTTTCACTGTCTAGTCCAGTGTTTATCAACCTTTTTCAGTCAAGGCACCCTTTAAAATTATGGACAGCCTCGAGGCACCCCATTCTAAGATGTAAAAAAAACTATTCTAATAGTCTTACATAATGTGTCAACATCCACACATGTAGGACACCCAACATTTAGAGGTAATTTATTCTTCCAGATCAAATACACTTTTCCACACTTATACTGACTAATATTTGTGTGCAGAAGACCAACATCCTCCTTACCAACTGATGGCGTCATTGGTTGTTGGGATATGCCAGCAGCTAGAAGTTTGTAATGGTTCTCAAGGAAAACCTGTGGCTTTGTGTAACTAAAAGGCAGGCTTGATCCACCTCTGGCTTGTATAGAATGTTGCCAAGGCATCTGTGAAGAAACTTCAAGGCTCCCTGGTTGGAAAAGACTGGTCTAGTCACAAGTTAGGGTGGGTCGAGGACATCCTGAATTTATAGGAAGTGGATTGAATGATGCTGGTCATCAGACTGAGGACATTTAGGGGCAGAAGAAAAGTACTGTGGGGGTAATCTCTGGACTGAAGGTGTGTATTGAAGAAAAAGCTGGTTTAATTATTTTATGATTGGCTATTCATTTTTCCATGGTTATTTTTGGCAGGTGTTCTGCTTTAATCATTGTTTCAATAAAGCCTTTCAGGCAAATTTCATTCTAGAGCTCATGCAGACAGGGATTAAAGGAAAAGTTCACCTTTTAACAAAAAATAATAAATGTGCATTTTTTTTGCAGGTAAAAAATGTGCTTTTACAATTTTTTGTTTCG